GGTCTAGAAGACCTCCAAGGTCCCTTCCAACTCTGTTATTCTATTCTATTCTATTCTATTCTATTCTGTTCTGTTCTGTTCTATTCTATTCTATTCTATTCTATTCTATTCTATATCACTAAAGTGCAATCGATCCCCCAATCTCTTTCTATGCCTCGTGTTCAGCCCAAAGAGATGGTGCTTCGATCATTTCAACATTGCCTTCCAAATTCTGACCATAGCATTGAGGCCTGGCAGACGTCGCACATTGCAATTACATTCAAATGTGATTAACTCACATTGGAAACCATACATACCTGCAAAAAGAAATTAAACCAGCATTTAATCCTGGAAGGCCACAGAGTAATGTCGCCTTTAAAAATAAAATAAAATAAATAAAACCACTTCTGTTTTTCCTCTGCGAACGTGTCTTGCCGTTTTAGCCATTAGGTGTGAATATATTCAACCGCTATGAATACTTCCTTATTACTACTATTATTACAATTGCACCAATATTCCTCCTGGCAACTTTAGCCCCTGAATTGTTTCTCAGGGCACCATTAGACGGCCTTCCCAGGCAGAGGAATTACCTTCCGTGTTCATTAAAAAAAAAAAAAACAGGAGCACCATCATCAGATAACCTCACACCTGTTTTCCTTGCACCAAGAGCGGTTTCATTGAGTGTGTTAACCTTGTGTTGCTCCGCGAAGGAGCACAGTTTATCCGTCGCTGCATTAAGCAAACCTCTAGGCATTATATTTTCCACCTGTGCAGGGATGGAAACATCCGTTATTCATCAAAAGATCATAGATGTCTCATTCTCCTTCCAAAGGTGAAGCAGAAGGGCTCTTTCATTGTATTCACAGTGCATGCTTGTTTTCCGTTCCTTTATTGATTGATATGAAAAAGCTCAATCCTTTTTGGCGTGTCTTTTTTTTTTTTTAAGGTGCACACAGAGCCTGTTCTTGGAATGGGAGGCACCTGCCAGGCCAGTTTTAAAAGAGACCCACTGCCAATGTTTCTGTGATGACCCAGGGCATAGCACAAAGGCAACACATCATCAGATAACCTCACACCTGTTTTCCTTGCATACCAACAACGGTTTCATTGAGTGTGTTAACCTTGTGTTGCTCCGCGAAGGAGCACAGTTTATCAGTCGCTGCATTAAGCAAAAAACCTCTCGGCAATATATTTTCCACCTGTGCAGGGATGGAGACATAAGCAAGAAGTGTCCCTTTAATACCTCCAACTTTGCCCCCAATGTCCAGGTTACCTTCAGCTGGAGAAAAAACTCTCCCAGGAACAGCCTTTAGGTGAAGGAAATATCAGTCCGAAAACAAAGCACATATAAACTGTGAATAAAAATCCACACAAACCAAAACTGCAGCAATTAACTTGAGAGGGCAGGAAAAGGAATTGCAGACTTGATCTACATTGAGAAGCTTGATAATTCACCTTTATGACACTGGCCATGTCCTTTTGCAACCTTCTGACAAGCAAAGTCCATGGGAAATCCAGGTTCACTTGACAACCGTATTACTAACTTAACAACTGCAGTGATTCACTTAACAACAGTGGCAAGAAAGGTCGCAAAATGGGACAAAACTCGCTTCATAACTGTCTCACTTAAGGACACAAATGTTGGGCTCCATTGTGGTTGTAAATCAAGGACTATCCATATTTTTCAGCCCTTCTCTCTCTATCTCTTCCCAAAGAGATCTAGCATGGCTTGGCTCCTTCTTTTCCAACTATGTTCTGTTCAGTTGCTCTGTGCTCAAACTCTTTTGACAAATTCTCCTGGTTGTTTCTAGGGTAGGGTAGCTTAAACCCCCTGGCCCATCAATCAAGGGGATCTAAACTTTTAGGCTGCCATATATATAATGTAACAAAGCTGCTTTCCATAAACTTATGTTGAGAAGAAGAAGAAAAAAAATCTCAACTCTGGAGACTCCTCATATTCCTGCATGTAAAACTGTTGGATGTGCTACAAGAAGACATATGGCTGTTTCTGCAACTTGCCCTGATTAGAAATGTTTAGTAGTCTGCAAATCTCTAAATCTATGCTCCGCCACTTTGTTTGTTTGTTTGCTTAATTGTGCAGTGATTCTCTTGTCTCGGGGATCACTGTGTCTAGATGGCTTACAGGTATCAAAATAGCAATCAAATAAAATTGCCGCTTCAAAACCGTAATAATGGAATTGTAACACTCGATATCCAATAATAAGAAAACATAAACAGATTTAAATAGTTGGCAAGCTATCTTGCAGAATGGAAAGTGGGAGTGTCTGCAAGGAAGGATCAAAATCTTATGTGGTGGGAATGGCTGCGCCCGTTTTTGGCATTTAGATACAGAATTCGTTGGTGGATGCCTGATATCCAAGCTGTCATTGGGTACCATATTAAACCAAGCTGGAAGAAGGTGGAGAAAGAGGATCTGTTTTTAAAATGTTTTCCTGTGCGTAGCCTAGCAACAAGTCTAGGCGAACAAACCTTGCTCAAAGTTCCCTCCACCCTTAAAACTAAATACAGCATGGGGGCACCTTATGCATTTTATTACTGGTTCATTGTTATGCTACCTTTTCATAACAGTGACATTACTTGAGCATTGATCTCCTTTAGAAATGAAATGGAACACTGGTATTAAAGTTTTTCCTTGCTCTACTTAGCTTGTAAAGAAAATTAGATTGTTTTGTCTGAGATATTTTGGTCTCCATGTAAAAAACTATTCACCAACTTTCGGTTACATTTACCTTCACGATTTAGCTTCCTTTTGTCATCTGACACTTTTCTTTGCTCTCCTCTCCTCTCCCCTCTCTCCTTCCTTCCTTCCTTCCTTCCTTCCTTCCTTCCTTCCTTCCTTCCTTCC